TGATCTTATTCACATTCCATGAAATAATCAAATTTGGATTAAGTTGTACATTTAATTCTTACCAGACTTTGTCTCTTTCTTCAATTGTACTAATAATATGAATAATATGAAGTCACTCCATACTTTGGTAGTAAATTGTGTTTATTGAAATGAAATATTAAAATGGTTTTATTAAACTATGTTTAAAAAATTGGCTACATTGTGCGCTTAAATCTCATCGGACTTTGTATCATTCTTCAATTGTACTTCTCTTGCAAATACCAATCAAAAATAAAATATTGAAGTTGTCGCAAAAAGTAAGGTACCACTGCTTTCTTTCCTTACACTGATTTTTAGTGTGTGATTATGGATAACCATATTATTTTGTAACAGTGTACAATGCATTTTCTGCTTTCATTGATTTCTTTTTAGATCTAACCACAGATTTTTTTCCTGTTACTTTGTAAAACTGTGCAACTGACATGTCTGCACCATATTTATAAAACATACAATTAAACACTATACCTTGATGGTGGAATGTGAAGTAGATAATAAACAACCATTTCATGAATTGACATTGAATTTTGGTGTAGACATCAAGGAACTCTGGGCCAGTGTCTGTAGTTTGTAATGTGGTACAGGTGACCAGATGTCCACGATTAATGAAGATTGAATCCTAACAATCTTAGTGAGTTGCTGACTTTTCCTCTGGCGCCACCAAGAGGTTGACATTTGTGCTTCACCATTAAAAACTGTATCCCAAGCATTGTGAGATTGATCACCATATAACTTGATAATTTGATACCAAGATGATATGCTTTTTGTTCCTCTTTATCATGAGCATGAAAATGTCACATTATCAATGGGCTGATTGACTTCCTGCTCATCAAGTACTAAGTAAAATCTTGGGCCTTAAATCCTTGTCAAATTCCTTAAAATCACATGCAAACACAGAGAAAAAGTCAATTCCAGCCTTTCTGTTAATTAAAATGTATTTTTTGAAGTAGACTACAGACATCAAACTTTTCCTGAAGGGTTTCCTATGAAGCAAGAATGACACAGCAATTTTTTTTTTCACACAGGTGTGTTGTAGAACCCGATTCGTCAGTGACGAGACATAAACTGTGACATAACATTTGCTGTATGACCCTGTTGTCCGTGTTGCCACGGTTCCACATTAAATGAGCAGATCTGGTGAATCTGTTTCAATACTTCCCTAACGTCATCCTGATTATCCATTTCTTCTTCAGTGACTAGATGCCATTTTGATCTGATATCAAGCTGTTGTGGGCCATGGTTGGACACTGACTCATTCCTAGTCCCTATCATTTTGGTCCAACCTTTTTAGACCATTCTTCTTCCACTGATTTAGGGGACCAAAATTTCCAATTTGATGGTCGGGAATTCTCCGATTACTGGGCAGATGTGTTGAAGAGGTCGCCTGGTCTATCACTGACCCCATCAGGCGAAGGGTCACCAACAGAGGCACACTGTCAGGACAGGCAAACCAGGCAACTGCCTGGGACTCCGTTGGCAAAGGGGGCCCCCAAGCAGCTATACTTTGATACATTTTGCAGTGACGACCATGAACCCCCTTAAACCTATGCAGGCCCCTATACAGTACATTGAAAGTGGTGTCCCACAACTCTACCTAGTGGGGCCCACCTCCAGCTGACGCTTACTGATCCATCTGGTTGCCTGATAAACAAAGTGAACTTTCAGCACAGTGATGCGACACTTGTCAGGTTTCCAGAAAAAGAAGAAGAAGGAGGAAAAATGTTAACTAGAAAGTGGTAGGTGGATATGCTGCTGATAAATGCACAAGAAGGTTGACTTCAGTTAATATGTAACTTACAGGTGTCGGCCACATTAGCATGTCATTCTAATCCTCTACTGAGTTGGAGATGAGCTCACAGTAACAAAAGTCACTTTTAATAATCTTGTAGTTGTTAATTTTATATTGTGGTGTTTTATTTGATTTATTTTGTTTTAGCATTTTTATTATATTTTTATTTTATTGTTTTTTATTTTATTATTTTTTTTGTCAGCATTGATCCATTTTATTTTTTGATGCCATCTAACTGTGTGTGTGTGTGTGTGTGTGTGTGTGTGTGTGTGTGCCCGCCCGCCCTCTGAGGGGAGGAACAAGTTGAGATAAAATGAACAACTGATATGATCACGTGTTTCCAAACAAAAATAGATCATATAAACCCACACAATACCCAGCATTTACATTCAAACTGTCCCTCCCTAAGTGTAGCTTCATTTCATTCCTTCACCTTTCTGTTCATATCTATCACCTACTCTTCTTCCTCTTAGACTTTTACAAAAACACATAAACACATACGTCTCACTAATCAACTAACTTAACACTTACACTAAACAAACATGAACAAACAAAATTAACTTACTTTTATTCATCAATAAAAGAGCTCTGTCTGACACTATAGCCACTTATTTTCTTTGCACAATAAGATCAAAAGTCTAAATCAATACGTCTATAATTCAACAAAAAAATATCTTATCAAAAGTCTACAAAGCTTAAGGGCTCATATCAAAGTGGAAAAAGTTTATTCATACAATAATGGATAAAACAAATATGACAAGAACCGTCAAACATAGTCAACATAGGTACAATTAAGTCCAGATTTAGAAGCAAATCACAAGTCATGAAATATAAACTGAGGTAAACACCTCAAATTAAATAAAGATGGACTGATACAGACTATTTGTGATCCAAACTCTCCTCTTGACTTTACTAATAATTTGGTTTTATGTCACAAATGAATAAACGCACTTTATCATTTAATTTTTATATATTTTTTCTATCTACCACACACAGTTCTCGTCACACTCAAAGTAAAAGAGAAAAAGAGAGCAGCGCACAGGATCAGCTCAGAAACAAAACCACACACTATAGTATTTTAATAAGACAAAGCCGTCTTAATTTGTAAGGTAAGATTCTCGGATCGAAATCAAACGAAAACCCAAAACAACACGCTGAAATGCCCCTTTTCTTTGAAACCTTAATGTTAACCATATGTTAAACAATACATAGCAATTTTTAAAGTTCCTTTTGGTGATTTGTATTATTCTATCAAAGCAGGGTTGTACCATTGAAGACCATGTGAAGACATCAATAAGCCTACAAAATTTCAGCACTCTAGCTACACTTTTTATGAAGCTATGGCACTTCAAACATTGCTCCAGAGATTGGGACGAAAAAATTGACAGAAAAATCGATATGACCACACCTCTCTTTTAAACTCAAGAACGAATGTAACCTGTGACCTCAGATTTTACACATGGTCAACTCAATCAATATTCATCACTTCAAACAAATACCAGCAAATTTGAAGATGGTCAGGCATGGGGCATTCTGTGAACTGAGGCAGAATGACTCTTACAGCTAGAATTCTGCTTCCTCCTCTACTCTCCTCTTTTCTCTCCATACAATTACATGCTCCCTTTGCATGTCAGGAACTTTGTGTCGTTTCTCTTCTGTAGTCTGCGTGTTGTCCTCTCTGCAGGTTGCAAAACTGTGTTTGTGAATTGCGGCTACTGTCCTGACTGACCTCCACCCTGTTTATTGCTCTTTGATATGTTGTTGCCCCTTTACCCTCACCCCAACCAATCGAGGCAGATGACTGCCCTCTCTGAGCCTGGTTTGAGGTATGTTATTCTTATACATATTTAATACAAGAGCTGTGTGCTCTCTTGTATGACCGGTTGACTTTTGTTTATTCTTGTTTATACTAGGGAGGCAAGTTTGATCTTGAGACCTTGGAGTACACTGGAAACCTTATCTTATCTCTTAAAGGTCCACAAAATTACTTCTGTGAAAGCCTTGGTGCACCATGATTAGTTTAAAAAAAAAAAAACAACAACAACACGTGCTCAACCCCACCTTCTCCCTCTGCTGCAAGAAGTATTGTCCTGTAAGATGAACCGTGACTTTATACCTTTGGCCTCTTGTCTTTGAAGGGCATAAGTCCTGCAGGATTATTTACTGCAAGACAGTGGACACTTGTTCTTTGTGAATTTAGTTTTTGTGTGATTTCTTTAACAGTCCCAGGTATCGCCAGAGTGGCATTTAATATGGTCTTTCAAAAGTTCAAGTAGTTACCAGCAAAAAGTGTTCTAAAAATCTTAACGCATTCTTCTTGTAATGGAAGAAGGCCCCTAGTTAATCATTCATCTTGCAATACGAAAAGGAACTGAAATTTACTGTAATGGTTAAATGATTCCAGGAAATAAATGATAAGAAATGGCATGCCAATGTAATAAAAATCCGATAAATCAGGATGGTAAAAAAGAGAAAGGTCATCTGTTCTCTTCTTGTTTTCCATGTTTGCTCAATGCAACGGCTTCTGCTTTCAAACAAAGCCACAAAGAAATACATACTGTAATTTAAAAACATAAGACAGGATCCAACAAGCACATGCGATGCAGTGAAATGAATCACATAAGATGTCCAGTGCTAGTTTAATTCATGCATGATGACCAATGCTAAGATTCAATTGGTGATTGATGTGTGTTGATTGCAAACTGATGTCAATTAACATGAGGGGAATACACTCTTGGCTGAAATCAATTTATAAGGGGATGAAATTTTTATTCTTGGACATTTGTTTACAACAGTTTGGATGCCAGCAGGATTTGCTTAACCTGAGTCACACTGTTTATAAAAACTGTGAAAGGTCAGAAAAACATCTTCATGCACGTGACCACGGATCATTCCGCCTCAGTTAATAAGTAACTCTTAATGTGATTTAAGTCAATGCTTTCATTGACCTATTTATGTATTTTTTTATCAATGATCACCTAGGATTGTCCCTCTGGCCCAGAAACAGCCCTATAAATTAACATGCTTTCACTTACGGAGTTTTTTCAATAATTGTCGGATTCTCCAACACTGTCTTCAGGGTAAGTCACGAACATTTTGTAGCATAAGACAGCATCATTTAAAAAATATATGGTTTTAAATAATTTCCTTTTTCTTCTCCAGCAAGTGGTCCACAATGGGAGTTCCTGGGCGGTTGTTTTTGCTCATACTTTTGCATATATTTACAGGAAGCAGTTCAGGTAAACCATCTGGCATTTTTTCATCTTTGTTTGGATGTGGATTCACTGTGTAACTGTACTGTAATGTAAATTACATGGCTTTCTTCTATTTGCCACATATGGAAGGGCTTTAAATCAAAGACTAAATAAATGTTCACCAGGATTAATATGCAGATGATACCCTCACAAATATGAATTTGCGCACTTTGAATCTTCCAAAAGATTTCTTCATATTTCTCCATGTAAATGAAAAAAATATTTACTGTATTTGATTTGATATATATTTTAACTAAGTATCTCAAATATGAGCTCTGTTTGATTTCGTCAAATTCCTCTGTTGAATTATACGACAAAATATATTTAGGCAAATTCGTAATTTTTTGTTACAACATCTGTACGGTTTACATACACTTGTGAACACCATGTGTATCATCACAGCCTTGAGTTTTCAATGACTCTTGTAACTCAAAATTTTCTATGACAGAATTGTAAATGCCAACAATTTTAGGTTAACTGTATAAATTCTGTCAAGAGGACTGGTCAACAACCAGTAGTTCGTGGATAGGATGATGTGAATGAAAATATTTTACATTTTGTACAAGAGTTCTGATTACAGAAGTTTATTGAGGTCTTATTGTAAGATATATAAATATTCTACAGGTATCACTTTGTACTGATCAGTTTTCTGTGTAAATTTACTCTTAACTACCTAAACACACATTATCCTATATCCAAAAAGTAATGTTAATTTAATATCACCTGTATGTCATAACTACTACAATTCTGCAACAGCACCTGTCAGACTATTTCTGTACTTTTCATAGGGACGCATGTTACCAGCTGTGCTTCATGTCATGAAGAAGCCACCTGCTTGGAGTCAAAAGAAAGAGGCGACACTTTCTCCAGCAGGGCCATCTCTTGTGTCTGCAAAGAAGGCTTGGTAGGCGATGGTCTTACCTGCTACGATACCAAACTCTGCAGTGATTCCTCTTGCTGTCGCCAAGGTTACCACTGGTCACCAGACAGGGGCTGTGTGGAAGACCAATCTGTAAAGGTCAGCTGTGGAGTTTGCCCTACGGGTATGGACTGCATCAGTGCCAATGGGACTGCCCGATGTGCTGATCCCTGTGTGCACTACACTATAATAAATGATGACTGGCGTTCAACAAATAACACATCGTTGGAGAATTTACACTGTGATCAAAATATTAACTGGCAAGGCTGGTATCGCATGTTCCTGGGTAAAAGCAGTGCTCGTATTCCAGACTGGTGTGTCCGTGAAAACACATGTGGCACCCATGCTCCTCTATGGTTGACACAACCTCATCCCACACAGACTGGAGAAATTGTAAATCGCACTGTGTGTAATTCCTTTCGAAGTAATTGCTGCCAATTTAGTTCGCACAGCATCCAGGTCAAACTCTGCCATGGAAACTACTACGTCTACAAACTTCAGGTGCCATCCACATGCTACCTGGCATACTGTGCAGGTATTGTTTCATTTTAAAGATCTTACGCTTCCAGAGCAAATGAAAGTTTTTCACTTAATGCATTCATGTCAGTAAAGCTACTGTTATTGTAGTTTTTCTCTCAAATTCAGCAGTTTATTTGCAAAAAAAATTGCAATTGCTTCAGCATGAGTGCAATTCTGTTTTTTTTTTGTTTTTTGTTTTTTTCTAATTGTAAACAGAGACATACGCAGGAAGCCCCGGAGTTTCTTCAACCACTACTTATCCAAGGACAACCACACAAATACCAAAGACCTCCACCACCAAAACTACCACAACTACACCAGGTATCAGCACAGCAGTTGAAGGGGAGATCCGCCTGGCCAATGGAGGAAACAGCTCCTGCTCTGGCAGAGTGGAGATCTTCCACAGTGGACGGTGGGGGACGGTGTGTGATGATCTTTGGGACCTGTTTGATGCTCAGGTGGTGTGCAGACAGCTGGGCTGTGGCAGGGCGCTCTCAGCACCAATAAATGCACAATTTGGAAAGGGCACAGGGCCCATCTGGATGGATGATGTCATGTGCAGAGGCAGTGAGTCAAGGCTCTCTGAGTGTCGCCACCAAGGGTTAGGATCTCACAACTGTGGGCACAATGAAGACGCTGGTGTTGTTTGTGAAGGTAAAGA